TTATGTACTGACTCACAGTTGCAGGGAGGGGGAAACTACTCATCCATGCCAGACATTGGGTGGCCTGTCTTACTTTTTAAGTATTACTTTTTATCTGACGTATTATTGAAAGTCAAGATGAAACTCATGTAGCACTGCGATTGCCTGCTCTTCTGCAAGTTATGCTTCACAAAATGGCTGCTGTCCAAGGAGTCTGCCAACATTTCTAGCAGTGCTTTATGAAAATAAAATGGCCACATTTGTACATCTTTAAAGGCATCATGGAATATGACAGTTTACTGTCTTTCTTCAGAAGAGATCCAGTCTGATTTAATTTCTTGTCTTATCCACCTTTAGCAATGCAAAGGGATTCTGCATTTCTGATGGCTGTAACTTTCTGGAACTATCTTTTCTTACAGCTGGTATACTGAAAAAGGGATGTTAGCATTAAATATTAAACCAACAGCTCCAGACTGATGTTTATATAAAATGCATCAGGAACTTGCTTGTTAAATAACGAAAAGTGTAATTTGAGATTTGTTTTAAATGAATAAGTAGCATGCTTACTTTGGAAGAACTATGGAAGGTTTTTTTTTTTTTTTTGTATATTGGTAATATTTTGGACAGATTGAGTATGTACTCAAGATTAAGAAATGTATATAATGTATATATATATATATATATATATTAATAAAAATATATATTTTTAAAAAAACGTATATTTGAAATGCAGCATATATTTAGAAAGCATAAAGACACCAATACTGCTTGGTCTCTGGCAGTCTACATCAGCCAAATAGCACCTCTGCATTCTTAACAATGAATTAAGGTTAATGCAGATTTTTAAAAAATCAAGGATACTTGTAATTTTAGTTACTGTTTTGGTCCTGTTTTGTGCCACAGTTAAGACTTCCAGGTTATCCTGTCATGGGACTATCATGACTTTTCATTTCATAAAATCATGACATTCCTTCATTGCAGAGAGAAAGAGTGATGCAGTAAAAGGGTTTCTTAAAGGTACAAAATAAATTCTAAGCTTTCTATGCTCCCAACCATCCTCTTAAAGGTGCATACAGTGCAAGAATATGCAGCTGTGAAATTGTTCATATTACAACTAGCAAAAGTGCATATCATGATAGTGGCTGGTGTGTGTGAGTGTGTGCATGTGCATACATGCGTGCCAAGAAGGCCTATATAATGGAAGAATCTTGAAAGGATGGGCATTACTTCAGTGCATCCCTGTGCATTGCTTTCCACGCAGAAATACAATGGATGTTTGAGTGGCTCCTCT